CCATCTCAAAATAAAAACTAGGGCTGGGGATGTGGCCCAGTGGTTAAACATGCCTGGGTTCAATCCCCAGTACACCTCCCCAAAAAAAGGTTGGTATTTAGTCTTTGTCATTATTTTATTTGTAAATGAATTTAAAAATTTTTTTTAGTTGTCAGTGGACCTTTATTTCATTTATATGTGGTGCTGAGAATCTAACTCAGTGTTTTACCCATGCTGGGCAAGTGCTCTACCACTGAGCCATAAACCCAGCCCTTGTGAGTAAATTTAACACATACAAATTATTGCTATCATGTACATAAAACAGGCAACAATCAAGCCCTCGCTACTGATGTTTTCAATGTGTCTGGGACTCAGTTAGACAATGGGTATAGGCCCTGTACTGATGTGAACAAGACAGATGAGAACTCAAGGGAGTATTTCTAATGTTATTCAAGTGCTGAGAAGCAAACAAGCACAATGTTATAGGAGACTTAATGTAGCTGAAGGGAAGAGAAGGTTTCTGGAGGTAGTGACATTACCTTGGGGCTAAAATTTGTGGGTTTTAACTGGGTGGAGGGAAATAAAGAAGCAGTGTGAGAAAGCCCAGAGTGGAGAAAGAGCCAGTAAAGAAAGTGGATGAACTAAAGAGGGCTGGGGGCAATGGCTGTAGAATTTGGCAGGGGCTCACCATGCTGTGTGTTGTGGATATCAGAAAGAAATTTCTTGGGAGGTAGGAAAAGACTTGAAGTAGAGTGGCTCTGTCACATTTTCCTTGGTTGTGGTACAGAGAAAACTTCAGGTCTCTATTGAACTTCCACCTCCCAAGAGACCGTTTTGTCTTCAATAGCATCTCCCCTAACCCTCTCCACCACTTTATGATGTTATGCATCCTCATTGGTCCCGATATTATGTTACACTCTCACATGATTGTTCTGTTTCACCTTTTGGCATGGAAACCCCACAGGAACTGGGAATTTGGTGGATGGAGAGACTGGCTACAGGGAGATCAATTAGGAGACTGGTAGAGACTGCCAAAGACCAAGAACACTTACTTGCCAGGAGGTTAGAAGCAGCTGTTGAATGGAAGAGCAAGAAGCTAGAAAGCTTAATTCACCAAGAAGCTTTATTTGCATAATACTTTACATAAGACTGAGGAAATATCAATTGTCCATATCAAAGTATAGGTAGGGAGGCAGAGGCCAGGGCTAAGGTTCTCACCAGTTAGTTCTTGATTATAAATCACTGAAGTGTCAGGATTTAGGGGGGGCTTCCAATAAATGGATAGTATGGAGGAACTTAAGATTTACTTAAGATTTAAAGATTTCTTTTTTCTTTTTTTTTTTTTTTAGAGAGAGTGAGAGAGGAGAGAGAGAGAAAGAATTTTTAATATTTATTTTTTAGTTCTCGGCGGACACAACATCTTTGTTGGTATGTGGTGCTGAGGATCGAACCCGGGCCGCACGCATGCCAGGC